GCAAGTTCCCAAAGTCTAGTTCATCAGCTGTGGGAAGGAAGCCATCTCCTTCGAAGTACTGCATATTTGGTGTATAACCCCACTGATCACAGGACAATCCATCAAGTGCTTTCAAATGAGATGAGCTTGGTGTTGCAAGGACTTGATGTACAGGATGATAGGCATTGTGAGCTTGAAAAAAGCTTCATGGGCTTTAATTTCATCACAAAGTGACTGTTACGACCTTGATGAAGGAAAAGTTGATCTGAAATGGTGATGTAACTGCTTGCTGTGGGTCTTAATATCTTCATTTCAGTATTTCATGCAGATAGAAGATGATGAAAGACAAGGGGTGATATCACTGAGAGAGAGGCTGCCAGAAGTATTGCAGCATTGTCTGTATTTTGGACAGCAGGTTCTTGAGCTGAATCTTTTTAGACTGAAGGAAGAGTTCCTCTTCACTTTTCGCCCACTTAAGTAGGTGACTTGTCTCTGGGTCTTTCAACTGCAAAAAGAGCCCATGCAAAATGAAGATCATTAATGCTGAACCTCCTGAAGGGAGTCTGAGTGGGAGAACGTCCCTTGTAACCCAACCCTTCGCATTTACCTGTGTAGTCTGTCCAGAGTGCCCTTTCCCCCTATGCCCATGGAGCACACTAACCCTACTGCTCCCCTTTGGAGGTGATTCTCTTCCAGCGCACGTACAAGTGGTTAGATATGATAAGCTCACAGCTCTGGCCTCCTTTGGTGGGAGTGGCCTGCCCAGAAGTAGTGGTGCAAGGAAGATGGCTTCCTAACGTAGTGTAGCAATGGGTCATGAGAAGTGGTCTGAATTTTGGGGATGGAAGAGCAAGTGCAAGAGCCTTGTAGTTCTGCATGCTGACCTTGGGTTGTTGCCACCTTTCTGAATAGCTCTCTCAGATGTCTGTTTCCATTAGCAATACATCTGTGGTCACGTATAGACTATTACCATGAGGGCTGTCAGTGTTTGGTTTGTGCCTGCACCGGGGAAGACAACTGGAATCCTCCACCCTGAGGACACAGCCCCCAACTAAGCATGAGCTCCTGGTGATGTGTGACCTGTGTTTCAGAGCTGTGTTTGCATCCAACAGAGGACAGGGATGCACACCAGTAGGCTGGGACAGTCACTGGCACTGAGCAGGGCTGAGACCCAGCCAAAACACAATTTCCACCTCCAGGGAAGGGTCGGGAGTGGGAAGCCTGAATGACAATAAATACCAAAGGATTTTGACTCTCCTCCCCAGATGCTTGTTTCGTGTTAAGTGAAATGCTGTTTAGATAAAATCAGGAGCTTTGTGTTTGTATTGACATTTAATATAAATGTTTTGAAAAGAAATAGTGTTTCAAAATGAATTTGTGAGACGTGCTGTTCTTACCCTTCAGCGACAGCATTTCAATCTTATCTAAATGCTTTCATCAAAGGGAATTTCATTAAGATTCACACAGGCAAGAAATTTGCTTTTGAATGAAAAGGTGATTTTTCCACCTGAAAATTTGTGACCAGTTCCATGCAGCAGCCCCAAGCTTATCTTCGCTGGGTGGTTTCCCTGCTGCTGCTGCTGCTCTCCAAGCAGCTGGTAGGCAGGAGCTGGCCAGGCAGGGCTACCACAGCAAGTCCTCACCTTGAGCCGGGACCCCACGTTGAAACGGATGCTATTGCTGCGGCTGGTGAACAATAAATCAATTTGATCCTGAGCCAGAATTTTAATGGTGATGTGGTCGTTCAGTTTCATGGTGATGGACTGGAAAGGAGGACCGTGAACGTGGTGGCTGAAGTCATGCCAATTCCAGTGCTTCTGCCTGGATCCTGTGCGGTCCAAGCAGATCCCAGTGCAGGGGTCCAGAGCTGCCCTGGGAACAAACATGAAGCTGCATGAATCCAGAGCCATCAACTTCTTGTTCCCAAATGCCATCTTTTGTCTGCTGTTGAACTAAATTCTTATTTTTGCTGTCCAGGAGTTGTCACTGCTGGGACCTGATGCATCAGGTCAGGGACTGGTTTTTGGTAATAGTTTTTGTCCTAGAGTAAAAGCACGCTACAGAAATCGGCTGGGCCCTGGGTATAGCAATGGGACCCCAAAGGGCAAAAAAATTTCTCAGTTGGAGCTTGGGGTCTGTGTTTGTGTGCGTGGCTCCTCCTCTTCCTATTGCATGTCTACATCTTCTGAAAGTCCCTGGGCATGGTAATTTCTTTTGCTCTGGCAACCTTTATGCTAAAGCCAGGTCCTCTGTGCCTGCGTGTGTGGTTGTGTGTGTGGCTGGGTGCAGGAAATGGCCTCGCTAAACTATCAAGGAGAGAGAAATGCAGCAAGTTGGGGAAAACAGCCCATATTTACGACATACAGATACAAATCAATACTCTCCATCCCGTGGAAGTCTGGGTAGGCGGCTCTGGGCGCTGGAGCATCCCCCCAGCCACAGCACATGGGCAGTTTTTATTGTCCACGGTGTGCGTTACATTGAGCTTTTCCTGCCTAAGTGTGAAGAAGTTGAATCTCACTAGGCTGTGAGAGCAGCTCATCCTCCCCCAGCATTACCTCATGCTGCAACTCAGAAAAAACCAGCAAAACAAAACCCAGGAAAAATAAAAAAATCTAACTTTGCAGCTGTGATGTGCTACAGTGCCAGCCACAGACAAACCTGACCCAGTCCATATGTGGGAGAGGTGACCTAACCCACAGGCTCTTGGTTTTCTGTTTTCCTCTCATCAAAGCTATGATACGCTTTTTATAAGTATCAGAGTGGTCACTTGACATTGCCCTTAATTTATGGCTGCTGGGAGAGGCTGGGAGGGTCATAGCAGCCTGCCCCAGCTCAGCAGCGAGCCGGCGTGTGGCTAATGCTGACAGGGAGTGTGTGGTCCAGCGGGGCCAGGAGCCCCATGGTGGGGTCAGCGATGGTTTAGTGCTGCTAGGGATTGCCTCAGTGCCAGACTGTAAAAACCTAGCTGCTACGTGATGGATGAAAGACTGGTGTGTCTGCAGGCGAATGGTCAGGCTGCAGGAGTCTGATGGAAGCGTTATTGCAACAGCTATTTAAAATGATTTGTAATAGCCAGTTAGACATTTAAGACATCCATTAATGAGCCTCAACACAGGGAGGACTTGTAAAATTGAGATGGGATTTACTGATTCCCCAAGTTCCTAGTTTTCTGAAGGGAAAATTTGGAGGCTGGGAGTGTGGTGTAAAAAATTCTTAACTGAGGGCTCAAATAGCAGCAGTTTTTACTAAAACCATTGATCACCTCATATTGTGACTCAGACTGCAAGAAATTGTTCACTTAAGTAATTCTTTAGTGAGGAACACTCACTGGATAGGAGAAACAAACCAAAAACAATGTTGACCTCCAACTCCAGCTATTGGGGTTTGCCCTTGTGTGTAGTTAAGCCCACATTTTTCCAGTATGGCCACCTGGAGCTCCATGAGAAGCTGGTAAAGGTGTGTCCTCATCCCCATGCTGTAAAGAAGCCAAGCCACCTCCAGGGCCATGCAGCCAAACTTGGCCAAAATCAATCCTCACAGCAGGGTCTCTGAATCATAGAATCATAGAATGCTTTGGGTTGGAAGGGACATTTAAAGGTCAACTAGTCCAATCTCACTGCAGTGAGCAGGGACGTCTTCAACTAGATCAGGTTGCTCAGAGCCCCATTCAGCCTGTCCTTGAATGTTTCCAGGGATGGGGCTCCTACCACCTCTCTGGGCAACCTGTGCCAGTGTTTCACCACCCTCCTAATGAAAAATTTCTTCCGTATGTCTAGTCTAAATCTACCCTCTTTTAGTTTAAAACATTATTCCTTGTCCTATCGCTAAAGGCCTTGCTAAAAAGTTTGTCCACTCGAACAAACGTCACTGGCAATTGAGATGAGAGATCCCCTGCATCATGCATGCTGCCCGCACCTGGCACCTTGGTGTACAATATGAGAAGTCACCACACAGGTGGGCTGCACCACAGCCCTCCCTCCTTTTTATGCTTTCACACAATAAAAAAAAAAGACTGGAGCAAAAAATGAAGATGTTTTCAGCATGTCTTACAGTGCTGGAGTGCCACCAGATGAGTGGGCCAAGCTGGGACTTGGCACTGCCTCTTGCACTTACCAAAGTTGGCCATCAGGGTGGAAGCAGACCCCATGGCCGTGGCTCCCGAAGGCAGCCCTGATCCCCATGTACCTTCTGTCCTCCAGGATGCAATAGGTGAATAGGCCTTCTTTGGTAAACGTGATGAGAATGGCCACGTTGCCTGATGGGTAGCTGAGAAACAGTTAAGGAAAGACGAACCCACAGAAAGCCCACAGAAAGCATGCTTTGGAGGAAAACCATCATGGGACAGTGTCTGGGGAGAAGTGACTCAAGCCTTCCCCACCCTTCAGACAGCCAACCTCAAGGCAACCAGCTCTGTAGACCTCATTTCCTTGCAAGAATGGCATGAGTTGCGTAGCCAGCCCAAGAGACTGAGACAGGTTACCCCAAGGGAGGAGGATCATGGTGACCCACCTTGGGACGGGGCATTCCCACAGCTACCTGCCCCCTGCCCCCTCAAGTGCCATTGCTGCTGGATACTAAACCTGACCACTTCCATCTGGGAACAGGAGAAAAAACGTCTGTCCATCAGGATAATGCTGTCTTACGGGCTCAGAAGAAGAGCAGTGCTGCAAGAGCAAAACCGAGGAGGTGAGAGGCAAGTGAGGGGCTGGGGTGGCATTGCAGGGATGCTCGCCCAGACACAGGAGACAGGGATGTTCTGCCCTGGGCCTTCCTCTCCCTGCTCCAGTACCAACCCCAGAGCCTTGGCAAGCCAGACCGTCACACTCTGTTCATGGCTGAGGTGACAAACCCACCCAGCCTTGGGGTTTTGTTTGTTTGTTTGCTTACTTTTTAATTAAAGCCTTTTAAATAACTGAGGAAAACTCATCCTTCACTTCTGTGTTTTCATGTTTCATGTACAAAGCTCAGCTCTTCTTATTTTATGTTATTAGCTGCTCTCTGATGATAGAATTTGCCAAGAGCCCTCTTTCCATCAGACACACGAGTAATTTATCCTGCAACACACTGAGAAGCGAAATCGAAGCATTGCTTTGCTGAGGGCTCAGCTCCCGGTGTAACGAGGGAGCTGGGTTTAACGCTTTCCGATGGGAATAAACAGCATCACTGCCTGCTTCTCCGGGAAGAACGGAGAGCAGCTCAGAGAGGGCACAAGTGGGGAGACCTCGCTGTTCCCTTTTAACATCATTGTTAAAAGCAGCAGCTAATTCTCATGTGCAGAAAGTGGCCGTGCTCAGGTTCTGTCTGTGGCAGGGAGCTGAGGGACTCGTTGGCAGCATCTCCTACACGTGCAGTGGCCGACTCCAGCTGTAACTGTGGCACTAATTTGTCACCCAGAGATGCACGTCTTGGCTCTGCAGAAGAGCCAAGAGTTACTTGCTGGTTTTAAGAGATGGAGGGGAACAAAAACCTACAAACTGATGATTTTGCTCCTGCTTTCATTTTTCCAGCTTTTTATGAGGTTAAAAAGACAGACGGTCCCAGGCAGGAGGATTTGCTACCCCTGTATTTCAGGAGGGGAGAGCACTATAACGTGCTTCTATGTTGAAAATAAAAAAGCCAATAAAATCACTGATTGTGTGATAAATCACAGGTAATTTTCTTGTGCATCTGCAGAAACTGCAATGCTTTTTGGTTTGGGAAGGGAGAGGAGAGGCAAGGGAGGGAAGAGAAGAACCATGCTGTGGGGGACTGAGCTGGCGGGGGGTCCCATCCAGCCCCTGGGTGATGGAATGGGCCCCCAGTTTCTGCTTGTCCTCCTGGGGCCACTGAGGTGATGGGCACCAAGGAACTGCCTCTCAAGGCAGCTGGGATGGAGGGGACACTCTGGTGGCCTTTTCTGGTGGGGGTTGTTGTAACCACTCACCCCTGGCCAAGGTGCCAGGACTCTCAGGCAGCTTCCATCCAACTGCCAAGGCACTGCTGAGCCACTGCGAGGTTTTGTGCATCCCTCCATGACCTTTTTTTGGTCTGGCCTCCATGATTTATGAGCCATGTGAGTCTGTGCTGGAATATCTCAGGGATCCCTTTCCATATGTGGGGACAGAGACCATGCAATGTACTTCTGCCATTCTCACAAAAATCAACTCCTTGACCCATAATCATCTTTCCTTTGGTTGTATCCAGCCTGGTTTCCCAGGGAGAGCTGTCATGTGAGCCCCCAGCCTCATCTCTTGCTGGACACAGTGCTGACATCCCTACTAATGAATTCAAGGCTGCCTGGACCCTGCAAAGCTTTTGTCTGTGCTGTTAAATTGTTGAACTAAGGCTTGGCCTGGGACCAGGAGCACTTCCCCAGGTGATTTCTAGCTGAGGAGACTGGATCCATCCCTGCTAGGCAGTTTGGATACGGCAGCCTGGTTTGGAGGTTAAGAAAGATGAATGGTATGGAAGTGAGTAAAGCAGGGTATGAGGCTTCAGTACGGATGGAGATCACTGACTGGTGGTGTTCAGCCCTCAAGTTGCATAGAATGCTCCATAAGTAAAACCCTTTTCACACAGTTACCATCCCAGTAAAACCCCAGGGATACCAGACTCAGTTTTCCACCTCAGCCATGAACACCTGGTTAAGCGCATCTTTGAAC